TCTCGTAACCCTCCTTTTCGACTCCTCCTACAGTCTCATGTCTCCCCTCCCTCTTCTCCTCCTTCTTCTTCTTCTTCTTCTTCTTAGTCTCTCTCCGCTACTCCGTAATATTTCCTAGTGCTCAACCATGCATGGGTACTCAACGAAGCAGTAATGGCGGTTAAGATCAGATTGTCATTCCCTCTGGCGGGACTAGAATACTCGAACAATTTTAAGATGATTCGTCCACCGTACATGCTGTTCATTGGCCTTGCCTTCCCCGTTAGAAACGTTTGATGTGGAGCCCACGCCTCGTGGGTTGAAGTTACAATCATCGTGTCTTGTACACATACTCCCACACACACGCTCGCACACACACATATATGAGCGCGCACACAAAGAACCATTTTTCACCATATATTCTCATTTTTTTTTTTTTTTTGGCTCTGTGCTTTTCACCGACTTTCCTTTCCTCTTTGGCGCCCCCCTCCCCTTCCCATACGCCTGCTGTTCTGCAGATTCGGGCGCTGTTTCTTCTCTGTTTGCGTCATTAGCATTCGCCCTCCTGCTCTCCTGTCTTTGTCTGACCACCTCTTTCTCGTCCAGGATGCCTTTTGTAAAGACACACCAACGTGGTTTTTGCAATGCGTCAACGAGCCTCATGTCCTTCGTCAAGATCGTGAACCGCTTCGAATGGATTGCAACCTCGTTCATGCTCTCCATGAGATGCACAAAATAAGCTTCAGCTGCCTCCTGAAGTGCTAGAACTGCAAGCATCCCGAACCGCATTGGATTTGTTGCAACCTCTTCTTTCTTCACAATCTCGCGCACAAGCCTTACAAATGGTCTGTAAGTGATGCAAAGGTCTGTGTTGCACTGCAGCCGGCGCATTTCTGCCACAGTAGCCTGTCCAACTTGGCGATTCCGCCTCGGAGCCCCTTGGCTTCCATCAATTTTCCGCCCTGTCTCCCCATCCATTGCTGTCCCCTCATGCCCCCTCCCCCTTCCTCTCCCTCTTCCTCTCCCTCTTCCTCCAGCCATTGCTGCCCCCCCGCCCCTGCAATCGTCATTGTTCCCCCATTCTCTCTTCTGGTTGTCGCCTTTCGCTTCGTTCCTTGCCCCATCCTCCTGCTACCATCGTTGCACATAGTGCCGCATGATGGCGTGCTCTTGTCCACAACAGCACATCCCGCACCCGTGTCTGCAGCTGGTTCGTCAATATCACATCCCGCACCCGTGTCTTGAGGTGGTCCGTTCACCTCGCATGTCGGTTGTTCCGTCTCTTCAAACTCAGGTTCTCGAATGCCCACATTATAATCGTTCCCTGCCATATCCTCCATTGGCATGTACTGAATGTGCCGCAGCAAACCATTAGAGTACGTCACAAAAAATGGAACACCCAGAGAGTCTCTGAAGATCATGCACAGGTCTGCCCCGCAAGCATAACGCATGGGACAGACAACGGGTACCCATCCAAGAAGTGTTGTCCGCCCGTGTATGCGGCGAAGGAGGCTCAGACAGTTATTAGGAAAATCATTTAAAAAGCATGTGCCCACACCAGCACCCTGCATTGACCACATGTTCTCATCTTCACATCCGTCATATCCACACAACACCATCTGACGGTCCTCTGCCTTCAATGTATCCCAACACAGCTTTGCATGTTCGCACAATAACGCTTTGTCTTTCACCCTTGCATTGCATAATGACACACGAGCCAGAACAACCATGAAATGCCAATGCTCAACAACACCTGAAGGCATCCAACCCATCGGTACCCACTCGCCCGAACGCAGTCTGGCTGCCATCGTCACTTTGTTTTCAAAGATGGCAGGATGAAAGACATGGGGTACCCAATTTACGTGATACCCGTACATATCATCGGATGAATGTCTGTTCAACTCGGACTGTGAAATCACAGTCACGGATATGTCAATAGCAGACAGTCTCTCCCGCGCTGTCCTATCCGAGTCCCATATGTTAACGAGCAGACCATCATAAGTGAGTTCCTTTCCTCTTACATGCCACAGACAAATGTTGTCCTCCCCCCAAAAAACTTTCCCCTCTACAATTGGCGAAAACACAGGGTTCTCCAGCGGGATCGTGGGTTCCCCTGTCGCGGCATCAAAGAACTCCAGCATCTCGAACTCCAAATAACGAGAGATGAACTCGTCATTTATATAAACTGTACTCCAACAGTTCCCAATCAGATCGTGGACTATCATTCTAATTTTTCCATATTCACAAGGAATGGTTGACTGCACCCAACCGCACCGTGCGTCCCGTCTTGCATCATTGTCGTTACAAACTCCATCCCCAACTCCTCTGCTGTCAAAAACCACCCATTGCTGGGAGCATTCCTCACGATCGTAAAAGAAGTCATTAAGCCGTATCTCCCCCTTTTCTGCCAGTGTCTCCCGAAAAACACGTGTGTATTTTACCAAATCTCGAACCACCACGCCGTCATTCATCATTTTCAGTCGGTCAAAAACAATGGCCGCCGTGAAGTAGCGCCATATGGCTAATTTAGGCGGACGATAAGGAACCCATGTTTCACCACTGTTGAAGGCGAAGCAGTGTTCGCCCCCGATCAACCCTGGCTGCACATTGCCGGGTTCCCAGTTGATATTGTACAGGAATTGCGTTCCTGCTTTAGTCTTCGTGACACAGTCACTTGCAACAGTGCAGATCGGAGTGTCTCCGCAAACTGTCCCCTCGCCGTTATCCACATCCGCATTTGCAACCAAGCAAATGACACTCAACAATTCCTCTGATTCCATTTGCAACGTCGGTCCTTGGTTGGCATCGTTACCTGCCACCCCTATCCCTGAACTGCGAACGCAGTGCTTGTCAGCGCGTTCTCTAAATATGACGTTCAATATCACTTCTTGCAAGTCTTCCGTTGTACATGCAAAAGTTTACCCACCATGTTCGTCGAGACATTTGACTTGTTCATATATAACACGAGACATGACAGATATTCGTAACAACATGTGATGGCCGACACGTTATTCGTATGTGTGTGTGTGTGTGTGTGTGTGTGTGTGTGTGTGTGTGTGTGAGAGAGAGAGAGAGAGAGAGAGAGAGAGAGAGAGAGAGAGAGAGAGA